TATTTTCATTTGTGTCAGTCCATGAATTTTTTAACTCCAAATAAATAATTTTAAATAGTTTCTTTGACGTTAACATTGAGAGATGAGCACATTTCTTCCATAATATATACCGCCTTATAACGTATTCAATTCGTTTTTGATTTGCAGTTTATTTTTCCATGATATTATATATGAGCAACGTTCATATATTTAACTACCAACACACGATTTTTCACTTAATTTATTGCAATATTTGCTACATCCTTATGATTTATGAATTTTTCCACAAGGACATTATATCCCAGGACTTGTAAAGACGGGCTCGTTTTGAAAATGTGGAAAATATTTCACAATTACTCGTTCAGTAAAGCAAATACAGCATTTTAACTGTCACCCGAAGATAAAAAATATATTTCAATTTCGAAATAATACCACTTGATTCCTATGACTTCATCATTAACTTAAAACAAAATCAATCCCTTTCTCCAAAAAAATATAAACAAAATTATCGACGAATTTTATGATTGGTATGTCGACTCAAAAAAAATCCGCCATACTGCCATTGGCAAATGTTCCTCGGGGATTACTGTGCCGTGGCAGTGGCAAGAAAAATATGACTGGCTAAAATGCTGTGACGAGAACAGGCGCCTCGCTTAACGACTACGCCGTTGTGGATTATTTGGGCGTAATTGGTGGCGCGGCTCAAACATACCAAACGTTGCGTTGAAAATCCGCAGCAGGGCGGATGAGCGAGGCGGAGGCGGCAGATGGAATCGCGAGGAGAGAGACAGGGAGAGCCTGGTTGCAACCGGGCGAGTGCACCGCTATGCCATCCCCTGGCCATTCCACAGATTGCCTCCCGTCACTTCATCAGCCGGCCCTCTTGCCAGCTGGGTTCCCTGTTCACGGGATGGCGTCGTGCACTTCCTTTCTCAATAGTCCACCAATTAGCCTTCTGCTCTTTTGGCTCCTTGTGCATACCCATGTTCGTTACCAGTGAAGTAGCGTTGGAGGATACAACGTAGTCACTAAAGTGTATTGTATTTTTGACTTCAACCGTCCGTTTGATTTTATCGCGCTTCGTTATATGCTTCTCTTTTCCCTATTTTCGATGTCACTACAGCCTAGGACAGTGGCGAAATCAAGAAAAAGAGTGCGGTTGGCAACTAGCAATTGACAATTAGATTGTTTTGGAATTATTATTTTTCACAATACAATTCTTTAAACAATTTGCTGCTTACGCGGTAGAGAGAAAGTTATGTAATGCTGCGCGAAAAAATGGCGAATTTTCAACAGTAAAAATCATATTACAGGGCCCTTGTTACGATAAAGTAGATAAATCCTTTTAGCTTTAGAAAACTATTCTCTAACTCGTGGTGTAGCCAGAATCCATGTTTTGTGTGCTCATGATACCGAAAAATCGACTGTCTGTCAGTCCGTCTGTGAACAACGTTTGCGGCGAAACCGTTCAGCCGATTTTCTCCATAATTGATATTCCCGAATCGATATGGCTGATGTCACGGCCCCTCGAATTTGAAACCAATATTTTAATTTTGGGGGTGTACTTTACAGGAAGCCCTTGCGATAATATTTCCAAATTTTCAACAAATTTGCTCCATTAGTTTTGATTAAATTTTGTTGTTGGATAGTGTGAAGGACGATTAAGAGAAATCTTTATAATTAGTGGTGCAGGTCTCATTTTCGTTGAAAACTCTGATTTTTTGCAAAATGCAAAAATTCATAATATTTTCGGCGTCTTTCTACAACTACAATTGTGAAGATAGAGATTTGTTCTCTGAATGAAATATGTTCCTTGAAGATAGATTTTGAAATAAAATTATGCACAATTCTTAAAAAAATTAGTACTTTTCGCGTAATTTTGCATGAAATTACGGGCGAGGGTACGTGCTTATTTTAACACCACTAGTTTATAATTGTCATTATTTTGTGGAATTTGCTACATTGTGACACTACAAGTATCTGTTTTCGGGCGTTTTACTAATGTCTAAAAGATGAACGATTGACATATTCTCTTTTCTTTAACAAGATGTCTCATTGAAAATAGTAAATAGTCTTGTCAAACTCTACGAAATTACGGCCTTGAATTTCAGTTCAATTGGACGATTCAATAAAAGATTCTAATTCTAAAATTTGTTTACACTGTTTGCATCTTGTCGCATGTATCTTAGTTTGCTTCCTTCAAGTCCAATCTCCCCGTTTACTCTCCCCTACACCCCTCCCCCCCAACTCAGTCTTCTCTACGTCGGAGCTACGTTCTTCTTCTTCTTCTTCTTCTTCGTCTCTTCAAAACTCCACTTTTCCGAAACTGCGTTTTCCAGAAGTTCGCTTTTCCGAAGTTACATTTCCCCAAGGCCTGAAACTTGGATTTCCTAAGCTCCTTCATCTCCTCGAAACTCTTTGGAGAGCTTCTCTCTACTCTAACGCCGTGCTCGTACGTACATCATTTCAAAATATTGCTCTCCTCATCATATTCGTTTATCAAACCTGTCTTTCTTCTACATTCTCACAAGCATTTTGCGTTTCCCCCCTTACTCATGATCATTAGAATATCATTTGTTTGATGGTGCCGAAAACGCCTGAACCATTCATGCTGACGTACGGCACCTAATCCGTTGTTATTTTCTTCTTTACTTTGCCTCTTTCACTTAAGATTTAGTAGCTCATCACCAAATCAAAAGAAACAACAAACTTTTAAAGCTTAATGTAAAGAAAACTAAACGGATGATATTTAATATCATACCGTAATGGATTCGTGCAAATTATTAAGTATATAAACAAAAAATCGCGTCAACAAAAAAGGGGGAAGAAATATTGAATTTCATAATGTGTTCATTGAGTAACAATTTTGTTTTTAGTTATGGGGATTATTAAATTTTATAAATCAATTCTAATTTTGGTATATCTTTATTTTTAATTGTAAGAATATTGATTGCTAGCTGGTAATTCAATTACGAATAACTCATACAAAGTTCCACGTATTTATTATCTCATAGGTTACCTATCACAAATATCCTTCTAACTTCATGAGTGACTGACAGTAATGGAACTATAACTTTGCCAACCGTTTACTCAGTTTTTGTGTTTTTGTTGCACATATTTATTTTTAAATACCTTTTTTCAGAACGGTGAAATGACAAAAAAATCTGCTTTCAAACGAATATGTGAACATACAAATATATACGAGTTGATTATTGTTCCTTCTAGTAAAGACAATCCAGGATAAAAGTAACTGCAAACTTTGAGATAAATTTATTTCAAATTGTATTCCAGTTACATAACAACTTTCAAATACTGCCGTGGTTCTCATAGTCATATTCGCTAGCAAATAATCAGAAATATAATCGGCAGTCGAAATTACCCGTATCAAAGTCAAATATATACATTACTTTCCATAACACTAAAACAATAAAACTTTTCTTACTTATTTTTATCCTGGATATAAGGAACCTGAAGGATCAATAAATACTCCGTGTACTTTATAAAAAATACTTTTATTTAGGAAGATCAAGTGTGCGAAATTCTTCCCGAAAATACATTTTTCCCGTGTTCTCTTCCGAGAGGGTCACCCATAGGTGGAGAAGAGCCACGTCATTTCCTCGTGGTACCCGCTCCCTATTGCTGCAGCCGTCCCCTCAGCCATTGATTGGCCGTGCGAACCCTTCTGCCTTGTGCTGACATTGCCTGTCTTGTGAAGTGCGTCCGAAGAGCGATTGCCAGGGGATGTAAACGGTTTGAAGATCCCAGAATGGAGATAGAACAGACATTTTCTGATTTTGATGCTTGAAAACACGTACTGCTTTGAAGATTCAAGCGATTTCATAAACAAATATTAGGTTGTTGAATATCTATTACAAATTTGTAATTTTTGAAAAAAATATTACAATGTTTATGCCTATGATTTTACTGATTTAGTTAAATATTTCGATTGTAAATTCTTACGGTACTTCATCTTCAGTGCTCTATTGTAGATGGTAGTAGAAACAACAGATTTTATTTTCCATTGAGTACTTGTTATTTGTGGGCAGTGTATGTAATATTTTCAAGTTTTATAATTTATGTGCTCTTCTAGGCTGTGATGTAGAAGCATTTTAAAACAACAGTACGAATAAATTTTCTACAATCCGCTTCCAAATCTTATGAAAATTCCCAAACGAAACACGACAGATTCTTCCTCAATCAAGTATCTTCTTTCGCCCTCCGCTTTCCAATCTACTTCTGCTTGATATGTAAAGTCGACGCAGCCGCGCCGCGATCCTTCTCACTCGATCCTCCATCCCGGTTCTATGCTCGTCGCCCGCTTCGCTGATGGCATTGTCCGCGCCCCCGGTTCCGCTGCCCTTCCCCGCTCGTCCCCTCGC